CCTATTCATGAGGCTGAATTGGGGAAGTTTCCCAGTGAATTCCATGGAGCAATTACCACTTTCAAGAACAGTGGGGAGGAAGAGGCCTTCCTTTACCATTAATCTAAAGGAACTCTCCCATTGTCCATAACTACCCCCCTTTTTATACTGCTGTATACAGGGTCTACATTTACATTGATACCCAAGGACTTGAAGCATCACACTGGCCCCTTTGTTGAGAGTAGGGGCATAAAGAGGGGGTCAAGACCAGAGAGTAGAAATTTTTGTTAGGAACAACATGTAACTTAAATATTTGCACTAGCTTCACTCAGAAAATCTACCACTCCATATAAGACACTCTAGGAAAGCATGGTGCCTTATCCATAAGTCGCTTTTGATTGACAGTTTAGTGAAATTTCATTATCACTACTAAAATATATCACTCAAAAGTATATTTCTTGTTGACAATGTGTCAACAATACAATTACCAAAGAAAGAAGTAGTATATTATTTTTAAGTTTTTGTAATCGAAAACAAAATTTCAATAGCAAATCAGATGCCATATTATTATATACTAGAGGTCTGGTGCATGAAATTCATGCACAGGGGAGGGGGGAATCCCTCAGCCCGGCCTGCACCCTCTCCAATCCGGGACATTTCTCTCACAATGTGGGACCGCCAGCTCCTAACCACTCGCCTGCCTGCCTGCCTGATCGCCCCTAACCACTCTGCTTGCCGGCCTGATCGCCCCCTAACTGGCCCCCTGCCGGCCTGGCCGCCCCTTAACTGCTCCCCTGCCGGCCTGGCCGCTTCCTAACTGCTCCCCTACTAGCCTGATTGCCCCTAACCACCTCTGCCTCGGCCCCCGCCACTGTGGCTTTGTCCAGAAGGATTTCTGGAAGATGTCCTGTCTAATTAGCATATTGCTTTTATTAGTATAGACTAGAGGCCCAGCGCATGAAATTCATGCACTTGTGGGGGGGCGGGGTCCCTCAGCCCGGCCTGTGCCCTCTTGCAGTCCAGGAGCCCTCAGGGGATGTCCGATGGATGGCTTAGGCCCATGGGGGAGTGGGCCTAAGCCATCAGTTGGACATATTTAGCACTGCAGTGGAGGCGAGCTTCTGGCTGAGCGGCGCTCACCCTGTGGGGAGCACACTGACCACCAGGGGGAAGCTCCTGTGTTGAGCTTCTTCCCCCTGGTGGTCAGTGCGCATCATAGCAACCGGTCGTTCCGTCGTTTGGTCGATTTGCATATTAGCCTTTTATTATATAAGACTAGAGGCCCGGTGCACAAAAATTTGTGCACTCGGGGGGGAGGGGGGTCCCTCAGCCCGGCCTGTGCTCTCTCGCAGTCTGGGACCCCTCAGGAGATAACGACCTGCTGGCTTAGGCCTGCTCCCGGGTGGCAGAAGGCAGGCCCAATCCCTAGGTGCAGCCCCTGGTCGGGCTCAGAGCAGGGCCGATTGGGGAGTTGGGGCGCCGCCCCCTGTCATGCACAGAGCAGGGCGGATTGGGAGGTTGCGATGCCACCCTCAGTCACGCTCAGGGTAGGGCTGATTGGGGGGTTGGGGCACCGCCCCGTCACACTCAAGGCAGGGTCGATGGGGAGGTTGCGGTGCCACCCCGTCACGCACAGAGCAGGGCCCATCAGGGGGGTTGGGGCTCCGTACCCTGTCACGCACAGAGCCACAGGGCCAATCAGGAGGTTGCGGCGCCACCCCGTCACGCACAGAGCAGGGCCGATCAGGGGGTTGGGGCGCTGCCCCCTATCAGGCACAGAGCAGGGCCGATCAGGGGGTTGGGGCGCCGCCACTGTCACACTCAGGGCAGGGCTGATGGGGAGGTTATGGCTCTACCCCGTCACACACAGAGCAGGGCCCATGGGGGGGGGAGGTTTGGGGTGCCGCACCCTGTCACACACACAGCAGGGACGATCAGGGGGTTGGGGCGCCGCACCCTGTCACACACAAAGCCGCAGGGCGATCAGGGGGTTTGGGCGCTGCCCCCTGTCACGCTGATCCCAGTGCCGGGAGGCCTCGTGGCTCCGCTGATCCCAGTGCTGGGAGGCATATTGCCCTTTTACTATATAGGATAGAGGCCTGGTACACGGGTGGGGGCCGGCTGGTTTGCCCTGAAGGGTGTCCTGGATCAGGGTGGGGGTCCCCACTGGGGTGCCTGGCCAGCCTGGGTGAGGGGATGATGGCTGTTTGCATCTGGTCACACCTCCTTCAGGGTGGGGGTCCCGCTTGGGTGCCTGGCCAGTCTGGGTGAGGGGCTGAGGGCCGTTTTCAGGCTGGCAGGTGTCTGAAGCTCCCAACTGCTCCTTTTTTTCTTTTTTCTTTTTTTATTCTGGGCCAGCTTTAGCTCTGAGGCTCGGCTCCAGAGGCCTCCGCTGCTGAAAGCAGGGATCTGGCCTTTGTTTACCTTCTGTATTTGAAACTTTGTTGTGACTCCAGCTCTGAGATCCCGGCTGACTGAAAACAGGTTTCTGGGGTTTGGTTTGGCTTCTATATTTGTAACATTGTTTCTTAGAGAGCAGCTCAGAGGCCGGCAGCGCAGGCGGGGAACGTTGGAGTCCTCAGTCACTGAAGCAAGCAAGCCTCCCTGTTCGCTTCAAGCTGCCTGGCTGCCGGCCGCCATCTTGGCTGGCAGTTAATTTGCATATCGCCCTGATTAGCCAATGGGAAGGGTAGTGGAGGTACGGCTAATTACCATGTTTCTGTTTTATTAGATAGGATTATTATATAAGATTTCAAAAAACATAAGAAAGCCATAACATTTGTTACTTGGTAGAACACAGGCTTTTTTTCTTCTTTCCTTAAGGATCAAGACCAGTGTAGATAAATTCATTTGAAGGTAATACTAGTAGTATCTTTTCTTCTTCTTACACTTTTGGAACTTTTGGCCATATTCACTTTCTCTAATGTTTTCTGTGCTTCTATCACTAGTTTGTTTTTGCCTCTTTCATTTATTAATTTGGTAAAGGACAGGGTCATGTGGTTGTTGATGAGTCCATTCATAAGTGCTGGGTCCAGCCTCTAGATTTGGAACATGGTTTAGTGAAGGAGGCACAGCTGTGTTCTTAGAAAGTAATGCTGTCATCTCACAGTAAGGAAGCTGCAGTGCTGGATTACATGCATGACACTGCATCTTCTGAAAGAAAAAATATTCTTGAGGTAAAGCTGCATTATTAGTTGGAAAGAACTGCATGGGAAAGAAAGAACTGCCCATGGCTTCTTCATTTCTGTAGCTGTGTGAATTGATCTTAACACAGCTCTCAAAACTTTGGTTAGCTGGTTCAGAAGAGTTAGAACTCCTAAATCGACACTGCACATTAATTGGTCTTTCATATAAACGAATTCCATTCAGCAAAGCTATGGCATAAGACACCGATTCTGGGTGTTTAAAGCAGCCAAATCCAAAAGACTTCGGCTTTCCTTCTCTGTCTTTTCATACAGTCACTCTGGTTAATGGCCCAGCCTATAAAAAACTGAAGGAACAGCTCGTAAAGGATCTCTTCCCACACTCGGGCCTCTAAATTCCCCACAAACACCCTCCTGTCAGCCTCCTCCTGAGCAGGGAACATCCCCCCGGTCGTGGCGGAGGACTAAGGAGGAGATGCCAACACACCGCCCTCTTTCCTGGCCAGCTTTTGAAGGAAAACAAATGTATGTACAACATTTAGCAAAGCTAACACCTACTAAGGCCTCGAAGTGCTAGTAAAACATTTACAGTAGGCAAAAAGGAAAGAGAACCAAGATACAAATTCAGACCTCTACCTCACAACAGATGCTCTTTCCATGGTTCATGGTTTTCCCTTCAGAACTGATTTCGGTGATCCCATCTATGATGTCTGGGGCCGCAACCTTACCTCTTAGAGCACACTTTCCTCTCCAAACCCTACTATAAGCAGCTGGCAATAGTACAGAGGCATTCAGCTGGGAAAACATAGAGGAATCTCATTTTATTGTGCTTTGCTTTATTGAGCTTCACAGATGCTACGTTTCTTACAAATTGAAGGCAAGACCCTCCACTAGCAAAAAGATTACAACTCACTTTATTGTGAGTTATGGTGCTCTGGAACAAGATCTCAGGGGTATGGCTATACTCACTCCAAGGCTGAGATCATATGTTTGAGTGGTGCTAAGAAGCCCCAAACTGACAAGGGCAAATTTTTCCTAATTTCAAATGTCTCTCTCACTTCCAAATCTGACTTCATCAAGTTCTTTTCCATATTAGACCACCCAGTATGTTTATTTTTTAACCAGATGGATGCAGTGGGATTCAGCCAGATTCCCTACTTCCTAAGAGAAGGAAAACCTTGGGCGAAAGCAAAAAGGGAACAAGGCACAGTCCCACAGATAACCTACTAGGCAAGGGCTCTCCACCATAGCTCCTCCACTTAGCTTTTTCTGCTCCTAGAAAGTTGAGAGGAAAACACAGATCATATTTTGGTTGCCTGTTGAATCTCAAACTTGCTGTATGACCTTGGGCAGGAGTGTAGAATCTGAGGAACCTTCCAAATATGACTTTCTGTTACACCCTCCTCCCATGAAAACACAAATTTAATGAATTTCAGAGTTAAGGTCAGAGCTTCACATAATGACAAAGAATTAATTCTTTTGGGGGGTTGGGAGATAAAATGATCTCTGCAGATGATATGATCATAGATGTAGAAAACCCTAAAGAACACACACACACACACACACACCTGTTAAACTAATGAATTCAGCAAAGTTGCAGGATACAAACTCAGTTAAACAATAACAGTGAACAGTACAAAATGGAAATTAAGACAATAATTTTATTTAAAATAGCATTAGCCCGGTCAGTTTGGCTCAGTGGATTGAACATTGTCCCATACATCAAGGGGTCACCAGTACAACTCCCAGCCAGGGCACATGCCCATGTTGCGGGCTCGATCGCCAGTAGGGGGCATGCAGGAGACAGCTGATAGATGTTTCTATCTCTCCCTCTTCCTGTCTCTCAAAAAAATCAATAAAAACATTAAAATAAATAAATAAATAGTTCTAGCTGGTTTTTCTCAGTGTTTAAGAGTGTTGGCCCACAGACTAAAGGGTCACGAGTTCTATTCTGGTCAACAGCATGTACCTCAGTTGCAGTCCATCCCCAGTCCAGGGTCAGGCCGGGGTAGGTGTGTGAAGCAATCAATTAATGTGTCTCTTTCACATCAATGCTTCTCTCTCTGTATCTCCCCTTCTCTTCCACTCTCTCTAAAAATCAATGGAAAAAATATCCTTGGGTGAAGAGTAACAACAAAATAAAATAAAATAGCATCAAAAAGAAAAAAATACTTAAGAATAAACTTAACCAAGGAGGTGAAAGTTATATATACCGAAAACTACAAAACATCACTGAACAAAACTGAAGAAGATACAAATAAATGGAAAAACATCTTGCTTTCACATATTGGAAGACTTGATATTGCTAAGATGTCAATACTACCCAAAGCAATCTATTGGTTCATTTCAATCTCTATCAAAATCCCAGTGACTTTTTTTTTTTTTACAGAAATAGAAAAACTCATCCTAAAATTCATATGAAATCTTAAGTAACCCCCAATAACCAAAACATTTTGGAAAAGAAGAATAATGTTACAGGACTCACACTTTCTGATTTCAAAACATACTACAAAGCTATGTTAATCAAAACCGTGTCATACTGGCAAAAAAACAAATACACCAGTGGAACAGAATAGACAGCCCTGAAATGAACCCTCACACATATTAGTATGGTCAAATTCAAACAGCACACAAATCACCTGACCAGCCTAACACTGGTTCTGCTCCCTTAAAGCAGATCCATGATTAATGCAATCCTTGAGTTAGTTTACAGAGAGCACTGCACACATGCCACCTCTATCCTCAACCTGCACCCAGAACCAAAGGACAGGGACATGACAGGAACTTGAACACTGGAACCCTTACCATAAGTGGCAGAGTTCCAAGGCTCTAATTAATTAGAACTTGCTTCTAATCCCTTAAAAACCTGCCCTGAACCCTGGATCTGAGAGACTGATTTGAGCCTTGTCTGGCTGCCTGACAAATTTCCTTCTTTTTGTGAAAAACCTGTTGCCTCAGACTTTGGCTTCTCTGGGTGCCACAGGCAAGGGACCCACTGACTTTGTTCAGTATCAAAATGATTTTCAACAAGGGTGTCAAAACCACTTAATGGGGAAAGGAAAGTCTTTTTAACAAATGGTGGTGGGAAAACTGGATATCCACCTATAAAAGAATGAAATTGGACCCTGACCTAACACCTTATTAAAAAAATTAACTCTGAAAGGGATTAGTTGTCTGTCTAAGAAGCACAAATTGCTAGTTATAAAAATAGTCAAGGGGATGTAAAGTACAGCATAGGGAATATAGTCAATAATATTGCAATAACTATGTATGGTGCCAGATGGGCACTAGATTTATCAGGATGATCACTTCATAAAGAATATAAGTATCTAGGCATTATGTTGTACATTTGAAATGAATATAATATTGTATGTCAACTATAACTGAAAATAAATTTTAAAAATTAACTCAAAATGGATCAAAGACCTAAACATAAGAGCTAAAACTAAAACTCTGAGAAAAATATAGGTGAAAAGCTTGATGACACTGGATATAGCAATGATTTCTTGTACATGACACCAAAGGCACAGGCAACAACAACAAATTATACAAACTGGACTTCATCAAAATGAAAGGCTTTGTTATATAAAAAGACAATATCAACAGAGTAAAAAGGCAACCCACAGAATGAGAGAAAATATTTGCCAATTACATACATGATAAGGGATTAAATACCCAGAATACATACAGAACTCCTAAAACTCAACAGCAAAAAACCAAATGACCAGACTCAAAAGTGGGCAAAAATCTGGAACAAATATTTCTCCAAAGATATACAAATAGGCAACAAGCACATGAAAAGATGCTCAACATCACTAATCAGTAAGGAAATAAAAATTAAAAGCACAATGAGATACCACTTCACAGCACTTGCTTTAAAAATAGAGAAAACAAGTGTTGGCAAGAATGTGGAGAAACTGGAACTCTTGTGCACTGTTGGTAGTAATTTAAATGGTGCAGCTGCTATAGAAAACAGTATGGAGCCCTAGCCGTTTTGGCTCAGTGGTTAGAGTATCTGCCTTCGGACTGAAGGGTCGTGGGTTTGATTCTGGTCAAGGGCACATACCCGGATGCATGCTTGGTCCCCACCCCTGTTGGGGCACTTGTGAGAGGCAACAAATCGATGTGTCTCTCTCACATCGATGTTTCTCTCTCTTTGTCTCTCCTCCTCCCTTCCATTCTCTAAAAAAAAAAAAAAAAAATCATTGGAAAAATTTCCTCAGGTACAAACAGTATGAAGGTTACTCAAAAACTTCAAAATAGAACTGTCATGTAATCCAGCAATTCAACTTTGGTTATACACCAAAAGAACTGAAAGCATGGACATGATGGATATTTGTACACCAATGTACATAGACAAATTATTCACAATAGCAAAAAGGGGAAAGTAGCCCAAGTGTCCCTCAGTAGGTAAGCAAAATGTGGTATATACATACAATGGATATTTATTTATTTATTTATTCATTTTTTATATATTTTATTGATTTTTTACAGAGAGGAAGGGAGAGATATAGAGAGTTAGAAACATTGATGAGGAGGCAGCCTATTGATGATTCTCTCTCATCATTGATGTTTCTACCTCTCCCTTTCCCTTCTCTGAAATCAATAAAAATATATTAAAAAAAAAAGAAATTCTGACACATGCTACATGTATGAACCTTGAAGATGTTATGCTACAAAATAAGCCAATCAGAAAAGAACAAATACTGTGTGATTCCACTCTTATAAGGTACTTAGTCAAATTCAGAGACAGAAAGTAGAATGGTCATTGCCAGGGTTTGGGGATGGGAAAAATGGGGAGTTAATAGTTTAGAGGGTATAGAGTTTCACTTTTGCAAGATGAAATGTTCTGAAAATGGATGGTGGGTATGGCTGCAAAACAAAGTGAATAGACTTCACTGTGCCACTGAACTATATATTGAAAAGTGGTAAATTTTGTTATGTATATTTATTTTACAGCAACTTAAACAATTTTTAAGTTAAAAAAATTAATTCCATTTTATTCCAGTTTTCTCCATCTTCAGTGCCCCACTAAATCTCACCTGAATAACTTTCACAGTCGTTAGTCTCTCACTCTGATCCAGTCCTCCAAACAGGAGCCAGAGTGATCTTGCTTAAGATGCAAACCAGGAAAGTGAAGTCCTTTCGGTGGCTTCCTCCTCCCTTTTGGGATAAAAACAAATTCCTCAACATGACCCTCCCTTTTCTTCCTCATTTGTGGCTTTATTCCTTACCATTAACCCTCATGGTTTTATCTTCTGAAATGTTCTCTCCTCTTCCCCCGTCTTCCCCTTCATAACTCCTACTCTTCCTTCCGAGCTGTCTTCCTTAACTCCCATTACAAAATAAACCTGTACCATCAAACCCAGCAGACTGAAAACTTACCTTCTCTGTATTTGACCATGGGCTAGCCTTCCAATATTCTCTGAGAGGGGTCAGTTTGTCTCCGGTGCTGCAGACCATCAGGGAGCCTGTAAAAGAAGTTTTATACCGATGGTGCACTTTCTTTTTTTTTTTTTTTTTAAATATATTTTATTGATTTTTTACAGAGAGGAAGGGAGAGAGATAGAGAGCCAGAAACATCGATCAGAGAGAAACATCGATCAGCTGCCTCCTGCACATCTCCCACTAGGGATGTGCCCGCAACCAAGGTACATGCCCTTGACCGGAATCGTACCTGGGACCCCTCAGGTTCGACTGCGGTGGGAAACCCCAGCTGCGGAATTCTGGAAAAGCTCTCCAGGAGATTCTGTTGCTCACCTAAGGTGGAGAACTGCAGTGAATGTTAACAGGTCCGCAAAGGCTGTTTTGACCTTATTGTTATTCTTTTTTGAAAATATATATATTTTATTGATATTTTACAGAGAGGAAGGGAGAGGGATAGAGAGTTAGAAACATTAATGAGAGAGAAACACAGAGAGGAAGGGAGAGGGATAGAGAGTTAGAAACATTAATGAGAGAGAAACATCGATCAGCTGCCTCCTGCACACCCCCTACTGGGGATGTGCCCGCAACCAAGGTACATGCCCTTGACCGGAATCGAACCTGGGACCCTTGAGTCCGCAGGCTGACGCTCTATCCACGGAGCCAAACCGGTTACGTTAGGGTCTTATTGTTATTCTTTAAAACTTAAAGCTTAGGGTTAAAAGCACAGATTTTAAAGTCAGACAAACCCGGGTACTAGTTGAACGATTCTGGGCAACCTACTTTGCCGCCATGAGTCCCCTGCACACAGCGGTGTGCCTCGGTCTCGCCTGACTGGGTAGCACGGCGCTAAACGCGGGGTACAGGCCCGCCCCCCGAATTTCTGAGGAGGTCCGAGAATTTACATCTCTAACCCACTTTCCAGGCCATGTGGCCGCTGCCGGTCCAGAAACACGCTTTGTGGACCACTGACCTGGCACATACTGAGGACACTGCAGATATTCTGATACCTCAACAAGTACTTTCTCCACTTCAACCCCGTGAGGCGTCCTCAGCTGGTTCCAACTTGCTCCGCAGCCTTAGAGAATCATTTCTCCTCTTTGGGACTCGGGGCTCACTTGCCAAAAGAGGGTGCTGGGCAAGGTGAGACACTAAGTTATTACCGACAAGAGTTAGCATCCTGAACAAGGTGCTACGGAACATACAGAGTTAAGGAGAAAACGAGCAGGGGCTAAGTAATGAGAGGCAGCGTGAGGCTCCCGGGGAGCAAAGTCTGGGCTAGAAAGGACGCCTCGGGAAAGGCAGGGTCATGTTCTACCCCGCTGCTCGAATGGACGAGTTGCGGGGAACGGGGCGACGCTCCAGTCCAACCTCCGCTTTCCCTGCAAACACCATTCTCCAGTCTCCACAGCGCCGCCTCGCGCTCGTGGCGCGCCCCTTCCAAGATTGTCCCTTCCGTCACTTCCGTCATGCGTAGAGCTTGCCATCACTTCCGTCATGCGTAGAGCGCTTGCGCTGAGACCACGGGTACTTTTTTCACTCGGACGGCTGCGCGGCCGCCGATTGGCTGCGTGGGCACGTCGCCGGGAGGACGCACGGCGTTGCTCCTCCCTCCGCGGCACCTGGTCTCGGCCGAGCGAGCTGAGCCGACTGCTTGGCCAAGAGCGGGCAGCTGCAGCGCGCCCCTGAGCCAGACTGCGGAGCCTCCACCGCTTCCCCGAACGCCGTGACCCGCGACCCCAGGCCCCGCCTCCTTTTGGCTCGGCCCGCGCGCCCCAGGCCCGGTCCGGGGGGCGCGACGATAGGATGAGCGGCGGGAGGCGGAAGGAGGACCCGCCTCAGCCGCAGCTGGCCAACGGGGCCCTCAAAGTCTCTGTGTGGAGCAAGGTGCTGCGAAGCGACGCGGCCTGGGAGGACAAGGTGAGGAGGATCTGCTGAGGGCGCAGGTTTGAGGAGCCGGCGGCACTTGGGGACGGATGGACAGGCCCGAGTTTGCCCCCCACGCACCGCCGATCGTCTGGGGCGGTGGGGCGGGTGGCCAAGGGGTGGCGAACTCGGCGGGCCCGGCCTGAGAGCTGAGCCAGGGGCTCTCCGCGGAGTAGCCTGACAGTCAAGCCGCCTGGGTCACTCGAGAAGCCGCGTGGAGGGGGCAGCGGAGGTGTTCCTCGCGGTCAGGGCGTGTGCTTGGACGGAGAGATGGAGCTGAATTCGATTTGACCTCCGCCTTTCACTCTTAGTAGGACCTTAAGGGACTTACCGTCTCCGAATTAACTACTTGACGTAGTCGTTAGCGCGAAAAGCAGCGGAACAGACATCCACTGGGTGCTCTGTCAGGGGCTCGCCATGTGTTCGCAGAACAGCTCCGAGCTGGGGTGCAATCAGTGAGCGGTGCGTGAACGAGGTAGCACAGAGCGAGGCTCCCCAAAGATGAGTTGCCGCTGCTTGCTTTACTGTTGGACGAGGAAAACCGAATACCTAAGTGTGAGAGTTGTGGGGAGACCGAGACCGCCTTGCAGGGGAGGGAGGAGGAGAGAGAGAGAGAGGGAGAAAGAGAAAGAGAAAACATGTATGTGAGGAATGGCTGGGGCTTCAGGACTTCCTTTTCCTTACTGGTCACACACATTCAGACCCGAGTTTGGGCACTCCCCACCCATGATCTGGAAGGGACCTTTACAAACAGCTTGATTCCAGCTGACTTGAAGACACTGTTATATCTGGGGGGTGGGGGGTGACTGGTGAATTAGGTTTTCCTTCCTGGAGTTCCGGTAAGAAGGGATGGGGGGCACTTCCTGGAGGTGCCCCAGCCCTGCCAGCTCCTGTAAAACCTCTCTGATCTGCTGTGTCATTTCTCTTTCCTGCCGTAAGGGCTGGTTCTGCAATCTAGGGCAGGTCGCCTTGTAGGTAAAACAGGTATGCTGGCACCTGCCTCCAACACTTTCCTTTCTCTCCTTTCTCTCCTTTGTGACCTATTCAGAGCTCGGTGTGCAGGAAGATAGTGCTGCCTAGGGTGACTGTCAGCCCTTCTGCCCGGGGCTGGTGTGTCTAGGTCTCCTCAGATGAGATAAGCGGTATCAGTGTCCAGGATCACAGTTACTAGCACAGCCATTTCATCTTTGCAGCTTCTCAAAAAAGGTCAATGGATTTTTCTAAAATTTTTATTTAGAGCACAACCCTTACAAGTCATCACTCAAGGCAAGCATTGTTTTGTGTGTGTGTGTGTGTGTGTGTGTGTGTGTGTGTGTGTGTGTGTGTTTACCACCGTTTAGTACAAGAAGAGGTGGAGATTCGAGAGCCTAATACTCTTGCTTTTGGGGGACAGTTCCCTGGAAGATATGTTGGTAGGAAGCTTTTCTGTTCCTCACCTATTACAAGAGGTTCTACTGTGGCACCCACTCCAGATAATGCATGCAATTTCTCTTTTTTTCTACAGGATGAGTTTTTAGATGTGATCTACTGGTTCCGACAGATTATCGCTGTGGTTCTAGGTGTCATTTGGGGAGTGTTACCATTGCGAGGTTTCTTGGGAATAGCAGGGTAAGTCTTGCAGTTTCGTGATAGCATTTCTTTTTCAAATAGAGACTTTATTTTCATTTTATGGAAAGGCTATTACTACATTGGAGGGTTTTTTAAATTATTATTTTAAATGTGTGTGTGTGTGTGTGTGTGTGTGTAATGATTAAAGCAAAAAGTTGGCCTCAGGATGGCATTCCTGGGTCTGGTGTAGCACTCCTCAGTTCATCAAGCCCAGGAGCATCTTAGGTCAGGTATGTTACCTTCCTGAAGGCTGGGCTAGTCCATTCATTCATGGGTCCAAAGTGATCTCATGCAAGAGGATACCACATGCCTGTTGGTGGCAGGCATCATCTAGTTCTAGCATGACCTTTGTATGGAAGTTTGGAAGGTGGAAGAGCTTCTATACTTGAGGACCACTCCCTTGTGCCTGGCACTATGCTGGATATACTGAATCTTGGCTTTTTCAGAAGTTGTTTGAGGTCCTTACATTTTAGAGGCAGTGAAAAAGTGGAAGGTTTGGCCCCCCTGTCTTCTGTGCTTCTGTGGCCAGTGGAAACGATTGACACTAGCCCCTGGGTGTGGCTCTGCTTTTTTTTTTTTTTTAATCTGTTTTTATTGATTTCAGGGAGGAAGGGAGAGGGAGAGAGAGATTTAAAAAAGAAAAAAGAAACATCAATGATGAGAGAGAATCATTGATGGGCTGTTTCCTGCACGCTCCCCATTGGGGATCGGGCCTGCAACCCAGGCATGTGCCCTAACTGGGAATCGAACTGGTGACCTCTTGGTTCAACCACTGAGCCACACTGGCCAGGCTAAGAAGATTTTTTTTTATTTATGATACTGAGCAAAGCATTTGTACAAGGAAATCAGTAAGAGTTTAATCTCTGCCTGACTTTGACGGAGTGCACACTTCATGAGGGCTGATTGGGGATTATGAGACATAGGACCTAGTGGTTATAGAGGTTTTCCCAGGTTGGAGGTGGTTATAGATGATATTTTTAGAATGTTGGTCACCCCGTTTAAGCTTTCTATGAGAGAAAAGGCAGATAAGAGAAAAATAGCAGAGAAGGGGGGAAGGCAATCTAAAAGCTAGAGGGAATTTCTCATCTTCCCACAGCCACTTGCTAAGAGGTTCAGAGCCCCTTGTACCTATTATGTCTTGTAGGATTCCTAAAGGATTTCTCTGAAGTCACCAATCTGGAATAATTAACTAGCACCAGAGCTAGTCTGATATACCTTGTGGCAGAAGGATTAAGCTAGCCAAACAGACCTTTCTTTGTTTTTTATTTTTAACTTTATAGAAAGTTCTGAATTCAAGTTCTAGCTTTGCCACTTTCAGGCTACATTAATTTTGGGCTCAGCTGTATGAGACTCAATTTCCTAATCGTTAAAATGGGGGCAATAAGTCCTGGCCAGTGTAACTCAGTGGTTGGGTGTTAACCTATAAACCAGGAGGTCACAGTTAGATTCCCAGTCAGGCCACATGCCCAGGTTGTGAGCTCCATCTCCAGTAGGGGTGTGCAGGAGGGAGCCAACTGATCAATGATTCTCTCATCATTGATGTTTCTCTCTCTCTCTTCCTCTCTGAAATCAATAAAAATATGTTTTTTAAAAACGGGGCAATAAAAATGCCTGCCTTATAAGATGTATGAATTAAATGAAATAATGTAAGTAAATTGCTGAATGTAGTGCTGAGTACCTCAAAGGCACTCTATAAATGGTTCATTGCAATTATTATATGATTAGCTTTACAAAGAATGGTAAAATACGGTTTTCAGGAGTACAGTCCCACACTGTCCTGCCAGAGCCAAAACTTGAATTCTTTCTCTCCTTTGGTTGGCACCTTTTCCCCTGCTCTTGGAAAGGACCCAAGGACATTGATTTTTCTACTCACATCTCCTCTCGTCCATCTGTCTGACCCAGCTGCCTGCAGTTAAGGGCAGACTTGCTCTGGCGCTCAGTTCTGGTGACTCTCCTCCCACTTCTGCCTTAGCTGCTCTCTTTTTTGACCCCAGCTTGTCTTCTCATTTCTGGCGGGGTCACTGGTTAGGGCCCATTAAGGTAAAATAATTTCCTCAGCTCTCAATTATAATTTGCCTGAGAACTGAGTGATGGTTCTGCTGTGTCTGCTGAGGTTTTGCATGATCAAAGATGGGCCCTGTTCATCCTTTCCTGTCTCATAGAGCTTGGAGCATATTAATATGCTTATTAATGCTTATTAAATTTCATTTAACAAGCATTCCCATTGACCATTGAAAGCAGGGCCATACATTACTGTTGTCATGTAGCCTTCCATCCCTGAAGTCATCATATTTGTTAGAGCCATTATTTTGTTAAATTATGACAGGAGTTTTTAGAATTAAATTTAAATTTATTTATTTTAGAGAGAAGGAGAAGGAGAAAAACATTGATTTGTTGTTCTGTGTATTGATACATTCATTGCTTGGTTCTTGTATGAGCCCTGACCAGAGATAAGCCACAACCTTGGCTTATCAGGATGATACTCTGACCAATTGAGCTACCCAGCCAGGGTGTAAGATATAATTTTTAAAAACCTATATGAAAGTCAGTCTTTTTTAATGTTCTTCTCCAACCCCAATCCAGCACATTCATTTCTTTGTCTACACTAAGCATGTCAAACTCCCAGGCCGCAGACCTTGTTTATTTGGCCCGTGTTAGCCTTTGAGTTTGACATGCTTGGTCTACACATTTGCTGTGAGGTTCTTGCCCTCATTTACAATATAGAAATTATGCCCATCTGTAAGCTCACTTTGAGCCTTTTTACTAAGTGTGTAGCCCTTAGAAGGAAGGGTTCATGCAACCCTTTATTTCTCCCTACCGTTCCTTATCTCACCTTTCTCTTGTATTTCCCACTCATCTCACCAATCAGCCACTCATAGAGCTCATCTCATATGATGAATTTCCAGTCATTCTCTAGCCGT